AAAAAAGTCATTTACTGCAAATCTGTGAGTACAGAGAAGCTGTCTATGCAAACAAAAAGCTACCACCGATGCTTCATGTGTCATTAGGATTAGCTCACAGAGATTGCCCAAGTCCTGTTGTCTGGCTCATGTGATGCTGATGAAGGCAGTCTAAACATCATAGACACAGTATCTAAAGTGCAGGTTAAAATGTATTTTATAATCTCAGCATCTCCTCTTCCAACCTGCTGGATGACCTTGGGCAAATTATTCATTAGCTCGCTCAGTTCTTTAGTTACATCATAGGATTGTTTTCAGGCTTGAGTTAATAGGTATAAAGCACTGGGGTCCCTAGCACATTTCCAATAGGATGGACCCTGAATAAACCAATGCTAATTTAATTCAGTTTAAAAAATCTGAACCTTAGAATTTGGAATCACAATGCACATTACATGTGATTTCTTGTAGGAAATGAGAAATTTGCACCAAGTATCAGCGATATTAAGAACGACAAGAGGGGCCTCCCTGGTGGTACAAGGGGTTAAGACGCAGCACTATGAGACTATCTGCAGCCACTGCAGCACGAGTACGATCCCCCGCCAGGGAGCAACCCACTAGGCACAGCAGACCTCTCCTGTCTCGCCCCCTGCTTCCCTCTGCAGTGTATTTCAGTCAATCTGCCTGTTCTGCTCCCCACTCTGTCTCTGGTGAATCCTCTCCCTCCCCGCCTTTTCTTGCGTGCACCACAGCTCTTTTATGCATAAAGAAGTCTTTTAAAAAAACGCAAAACTTGTGTTTACTACTTTAAAAAAAAAAAAATGACGTCAGGTAAGCCATTGTCAGTTTTACAGCACATCACCAGCAGCTCTTTCACCACTAGGAAAAAAAAATCCCTGGAACTTCCCCTTCCAACCAACTTCCTTCACCGAAAACTCCAATTAATTTATGAAGAAAGATGTGGGGCCTCTCTGGTGGCTTAAGGTGGGGAGGTCTCAGCACTGTGAAGCAATCCGTAGCCACTATAGCAGGAGTTCGATCCCCTGCCAGGGAGCTACCCACAAAGCACAGCAGACCTCTCTCGTCTCGCCTGCTGCTCCCCTCAGCAGTATATTTCAGTAGACACCCCCAACGCCCTGCACCTCAGCTCTTGTATGCAGAAACCTTAAAAAAAATGGAAAGTCTGTGTTTTAAAATAAATAGATGTGTGTTTATATCGCACACAAACAATATTTCATCTAAACCACGTGAGTAATGTTCAGTTTATACCTGCACTCCTCGTGCTGCACATAGCGTCGCCTTTCTTGGGTCGTTATTTCTTAGGGGGGGGGGGAACCTCTGCATTTCCAACATTTTCATTTAGAGAGCATTCTACTAGCGGTCCCGTCAAAGAACAGTGGGTCCTTCGCCCTCCATAGAAAGAATTCACCAGAGACCGCGACGAGATACGTAACGAGTGAGCCCAGGCCACGAGCGTGAGCTACGTCAGAGATTACGCATAGGCTGGCGACGCCAGGCATGCGCAGACGGGTTCCCCCAACGCGCATGCGGGGTGTGGGCCTTCTCCCTCCCGGAAATTGTGCGACAGTGAATTGACCACCGAATCTAATGTTTTCTGTCTATTATGGCGCCGCACGGTCAGTGTGCTGGGCAAAACTGTTTGGACAGGATTCGGCCATCCAACATTCAGTTCACGTGTTCCAACGGGACTTAGGGCCATGTATCCTACCGACTGGCAATTTCTCTTACACTCGGCTGTCTCAGTCCTCCCGCTTTAGTTAGCCCGCCTGGCATCCCATTTTTGAAAGCACAGTATGTTTTTTCCAGAAGCCCAGTTCAAAAGCTGCATGCATTCAATATACATTAACAATGAGTGTGTGCGTGGTAACTATAGGTTTTGAAACACATCACCTTTCATTTCTTGCTCTTACTGTCTCAAGTGGGAGGAACAATTTAACAAGGAAGCAGCTGCGAGAACAATGAAGAAATCTGAAGCCAAGTGACTTTTAGCATTGGGTGGTAAAATATACTGTGCAACTAACAATTATATTAAGAAATGAAGCTTCAGATATGACAGGTGTGCTCTAAGTTGGCTATTTTCTGCAACGGAAAACAGAAATAGCTAACCTTACAATGAAAAACGCCACATTATTAATACCATGTACTACAGGACATGTATTTTCCCTTGCCGGCCCCACGTTTCTGGAAACAAATGAACAGGAGCTAATTGGAATGTAGAATACAGGCTTATTTTCTCTTGATGGCATCCAGCTTATTTCAGTCCTCCTTTTCTTATGTAAACGTGATTGGAAATTAAAAAACAACAAACAAAAATTTTAACTTTCTATTCTGTGTAACACATTACCACACTCTTAGCAGCTTAAAATAACAAATTCAGGACGCAAGCGTGGCATGGTGGCGCTCCTAGAGTCTCACAAGTTGGAAATGAAGGCGTCAGTCAGGTTGCACAATCTTACCTGGGAATTCTGGGGGAGGCTCTGCTTCCACTTCTCAGTCAGGGTTTTTGCTAAGCCTGCTTCTTGCGTTTACTGCTCAGGCCATGTCTCTGACCTCTTTCCATCTTCAGTCAGCAAATGACTCCCTCACACCCTCAGAACTACTTCCACCAAGAGCCTGGTTCCTTTTAAAAGTTCTGCTGATACTGCGAGGCCCACAAAAACAATCTCCCAATCTTCACAGCTGTACTGCATCTACCCAAATGGGAGGTGTGTGAACTCCAGGGGGTGCAGACCTTGGTGCTACTTCAAAATTCTGTTTCCTGCAGCAGGCAAATCAGGGTTATTATCTCTTCAACGAGAATGCACAGGTTATTTTATTTGACCACCACTATGGATTTTAATCTTTTATAAAAATAAACCTTCTGAATAAAATGATATGCTATTCAGCTGGAAGAGTGCAAGATGGAAATAATTTTAAAAACTAATTACAATTATGTGAAAAATCCATTTTAATCATACTCAGTAATTGATAGGTCTCTTTATAGTAGCCTAGTGATTTTTAAAATCCTTTTAATCAGGTGACAGTAATGCTTCATGAAGGATTAAGGAAGCATTAATGATGTAGTTATATTGCTTTCTTGATATTTCAGAGTGGAAATGTTAATTTTCCTATCATTAGTCATTGCCCCAAAGTAGTTTAGGAAATGTATTTTCAAGAAAACCATTTGGTAGGAATTAAGAATAAACTGAAGACCGTGGCACAAGTTAAGGTCAGCAGTAGGGGTATGCCAGTAACTTTAACACAATGTACTGTTTCATAGATTGTAAAATGTTTTTCTTCCATTATCAACAATGTAAAGACACCACAATGTGTTAAGTGACCTGCTTCTCATCCAGCTGTGCCTTCAATAAACTGCAACTTTACAAAGGCATTTATCTCTTATTTGTAAAATAAAAGCATTTTAGAATTTCAGATCTAAAATGGACCTTTCAGATCATGATCTTTAAAGTTCCATCCAGCTCTAAAGCCCTATTTACCTAAATACCAACTACTAAAAAGGGGAACTATTCCACATAATGAGAAAATGTGATATTTTATAGATTAAATGGGGTATTTGGTTCCCTGACTGGACTAACTTGTTATTTTTCATTTCTTTTAATTTTAGATTAAGTTCCTGCAGATGTTTTAGCATCTCAATAAATGAAGCCTGATTCTCTCCTACTTCCCTTGCAATTCAACACAGAGGACTATACTTTTGGTTGTGTCCTCACGTTCTTTATTTACATCAGTCAAAATAATCTTGTTATCTTACAAAATTATAGGTACTTCCAATGTTTTAAATTCAATTCATTTTCCTATAAGGCCTTGTCACCTTGTCTACAATAAAGGGAGAAGGCAGAAATCACAATTATATTACCCTATATGGACAGTCCTGAACCTTTGATTCAATTCACTTGGAGGTTGTAATTTATCTGATTTTGTACCAGATCACTAGTTTCCTAGGGGAGTCTTTTCATCACCAGAACAAAACATGTTTAGAACTTGAGCACATACTCAAAATGTTTCAGCAAGTATAAAACATGCAGAATAAGCCCTGCTTTCAATGAACTTATAATCTAAGGGGGGAGAGGGAAAACTGACAAATGACGGAGGAATTTGTCATACAGATTGGTCTCCCAAGGATATTCATGTCTTATGCTAGGAACCTGTGAATATGCTGTCATATAGCCAAAGGGAATTTAGGTTGTTGATTACTTGATCTTAAAACAAGACTAGCTGGATGGGTCCAATGTACCACATGAGGCAGAAGATTGAGTCAGACAGATGCCACTTGAGAAGGGCTGGATGTCTTTGTTGGCTTGAGAGCCATTTTAAAATTTTAACCCAGAGAACTATAAGATAATAAAGTGGTGGTGTTGTAAACCACTAGGTTACTGGTAATTTGTTATGCCAGCCATGTAAACTAATTCAATCATAGAATTACTTTCAGCTGTGGAAAGGATAGTGCTAGTACTTCACCAGAAATGAAGGGCCTGGGTGCAGCGCAGGTGATGCAAATTCAATCGTTGCCCCTCAGAGTGTCTTTTTTTCCCCTGAAAAAGCAAAATGTCAGCCAAATAACCCCACCCCACTAATGAACCAGAGTCATAATTCTAACAAGAGATTGACATTCATAAGTTTGAACAGTACTAGGTTAAACTGATTAAAAACTGTTTTAAACTCTGGAGAAATCTTTCTTCTTTTTGACACATATTTTCTCTGAAAAAAATACTTAAATGCAACCGCAAAGAGGAAGGCTGGTTTGTGCTTAGTTACCATTGCTCTTAAATAATGAAAAAGGCCTTTCAGCAGAATCCCTTTTCACCCATTTCTTTCTTTGAAAATTCCCATGAGTTTAAAAATTGTCAATATCAAAAATTTTGTAACGGCAAATAAATATTAAAATCCCTTGACTATTACTGACAAAGCCATCTTGTGGGGATTGGAGGAGAGGAGAAAAAGAATTTCATTCACATAATACATTTTTATTATTTTTAATATAAAAGACAGCAATGTTTTATATTTCATATATATTAAAAAAGCATTAAAACCATCTAATAAGAATTTAATGAAAATAAATTTATTGAAGGATAGCAATGACTACAAAATTAATATTTCAAATCATTTTGATGCCCTTTTGCATTAAGAATAACATGTAGAGGGAAGCTGGAGGAAGTATCACAAGATGGACGTTTTAAAACTACATTTTATCCAGTCTTTATCTTCTTTGCTAATCTTGTACATATGATAAGAAATATTCCAGATGTTGTGAATCTATTCTCTGGTTAAATTAATGCAACTCACTCAATCAAGTAAGTTGACTGCAATGTTAAGAATAGGGTAACAAGAGACAAACACCCACTGTTCAAATTCTCATAGAACCTGTAAAGGAAAAGCACTGAATCCACATTAACACTGCAACATACATTGCACAATAATACAAAAGTCAAACCATTATGGGTACATTTTTTTCTTTAAAGCGCACAATTTCAGAACACTTTACAAGAGTGTGCACTTAGGAAGTTATGATCAGTAAATACAGTAGAGACAAAACAGGCACCTCCATTGTAATTATTTTTAATAAATAAAAGCACATTAATTAACAAAAAAAGATAAGCAGCACCTGAAGCCTTTGATGTTTGTTAACTAAATGCCGATACCCAAATAGTCTAACTGGTTAAGTTTCACTAGGAGGCGCAAAAAAGGAGCCAATTTTTTACTTAACTTTTTAATTCTAGTTGAGACAGGAGCTTGTCTGGGCTGACAGTTCTGCCACATCATGGTGACAGCATACCAGTCTTTCAGATGTCCTATACTTTGGAAAGCAGACCCGACTCTGGAGCACTCGCCTTAATTAGATTCTGAATTTCCTTGAATTTTGGATGGTCTTTATCAGCCACCAGCTGCAGCAGAACAGCCTCGCTTGTAGTCACAATGATCCCAGTTCGAGCAAGACGCTTTAAAAAAATGTAGACAGAGACAAATCAAGAACTCAGCCTGACAAATGGACACTAATTTAAAAACAGCAAAAAATGTGTGCTGAGACACACATTTCTATCAGAAACAAGGTCCTCAGTAACACTACCCAATTCAGTGATGGAAAAAGATTTCAAGCTAGCCACACCACGATCCCATTTTGACTTCTGGATATCAGTAAGCTGGACTAGAAACAATTACAGGTAGTCAATATTACAACTTGTGCATGATGGGGGTAGGAGGGCAACTGGGGCTAATGACTGTAAAACATGACAGGAGAAAAAACAAATGCATAACTACATCCTCATCGGTGAGCACTTGCACACTTTTGAAAGCTGCTACTTCCAAAACACTCTGCACATCCATGCTTCATCTTCCTCTCAGTCATTCACTCAACTAAGAGCTGCCTTTGACAAACTCCTACATGTATTAAATTCTTGTTTCTTATTTCTACTTCTACTATTGAAATTTTACCAAAGGTGTGTCCATCCACATTTACTCCTACATAGTTTAATTGAGATCATGTATGAGGTCATGAGGTGTATGGATAACAATGCTTGGCATTTAGTAGCTGTAGAGTAAGGTAAAAAAAGTATCAGGCTTTTCTGCCCTCCCGCCATTAGGATTGATGATGGATCCTTGTGGTCCTGAATGCATGCCTGATGGCGGATACCTGGAGTAGGGTGTGGGTATGCGTAAGTGGGTACACCTGGGCTAAGGCTGGGCTTATAAGGGTGGCGTCACGGGGATGCCAGGAGAGCAGAGAAGCAAAGAGAATGAAAGAACAGAACAGCAGAGAAGCAGAGGCCACGAGAGAAGGTGGGAGAGCCCAGAAAGAGTGAAGACATGCTGGGGGTTGGGAGGCCTACCAGGCTCCCGGCCCCCCAGCACTCCTGTCTGCCATGTACCTGCTAAATCCCAATGAAAGACTGAAAAAGCCAATGAGGGCTCCAGGACTCACTCCTTTACTCCATCTGCTCGTATCATAGAGAACCTGCTCTGGTCTATCCTGCCGCTATAGTAGCTTATTAAGAAAAAAACTGGGGGTGAAGGGGAGTTTACTTCTAAAGCTCCATCTGCTGTGACATGAGGATAAGTGCAGCTGTTCAGAATATTTCTATTCATCACTAATTTATTATACAATTTTCTGTAACCAAAGTTTTTTAACTGCAGTGAAATTACTGCAGGAGTTAGACTGATGATACTCTTTTATTTTTCTTTCTTCTGTCTCCAAACATCTAACATAAAGCATGTGAGTCCTTCAAAAATAAAAGCCCCCTGTCTGGAAAACACTGGTGGTGGGAGAAAAGAAGTTCACACGAGGTTTAAGAAGGTAGCCCTAAATGATAATGGAACTGCTACCACTGCCACCATCACACAGTTTGTAGAATAACTAAGAAAGTTCCATGGACAGGTCAAGGGGTGGCTTTGTCAAACTGCTCAGAGGAATCATAATAAAGATGTACAGACAGAAATCTCAAAATGGGGGATGAAGAATGAAGTGGGGGAGGGAGGAGGAGAAAAGAGGGCAAAGAAAGAAAAGTGGAGAATTAAGAAGAAGGGGGAAGGCAAGAGAAGAGAGTCCCCTGAAAGCAGGCCAACTCTCATTACAGGAAACACCCACTGGAAGGTGGCTGTTGTTAGAAGTAGCAAGTGAGATGAGGTCGTTAGAAGTAATTCCTAAGCTAAGGGGGAGGATAACATCCAGGTCAGTCTCCTTTCACAAAGAAGGAAATATTTGAACAGCCAGAACAGCCAGTGGAGAGGGCTATATTTCAGTTTATCTCTGCATTTAGTCTACAATTCTTTTGGAAGAAATAATGCCTGACAGATGGTAGGTGCTCAAAAATATTTATTGAATAAAACAAACATCCCGGGCCCTGGCATAGCATGAGTTTTGATTTACCGTAACTATAAATCTTTTCAGTATAATGTTAACAGGCAAAATGGACAGACTCAAGAATTATGTTGAGCTTGTCCTAAAGAAACAGAGATGAAGAAGAGCTGACTGCTATTTAACTTTCGCAGTCACAGAATAAAAACCTTAACATTTTCTCCAATGACTTAGCAATAAACAAAATCATCTTCCTATCACATTAAGACTAAGGAAAAACCTGAGATATGACACATTGCCCCCATGACCACCTGATTTGATTTTTTTTTTTCTCTTTGAACTTCAGCACTAACCCATGCCAATGGTGGCTCTAGAACCTCCACCACATTCTTTTCTTCCCTCTTCCAAATTTCTCAAGACTAGCCCTTTCTGGGTCTCAGAGGTTATCTGCTTATATATAATTATTGTCTTAAAGACAATGATTAAAAAAAAATCACAGTAGGAGCTAACTTTGAGTGTTTACAGTGTCTGGCACTGTACTAAGTGTGTCAATTAATCCTCACAAAAATCCTCCCATGCAGTCACTATTATTACATCCATTTTCACCAAGCTGAAATTTGAAGCATAGATATTTGATAACCTGTTCAACAACACAAATGCCAGAAATTGTGCTCAAACCCACATCTCACACACACACATACACCACTATTTGGACTCCTTATCACTGAGATCACAGACTACCTCTCAAAGAATGAGATTCAGATTGTAAATAGCTGAGTCTCATGTGAAACGAGTCCCCAGAGAATACTGAATTTGCTGGATCTCCTGAGATGATACAATTGCCAATAATCAAAATTGTCTTGACATAAAGACCATAATAAAGGGCCTCCCCTGGTGGCGCAGCGGTTGAGCACCGCAAGGCTGCCCACAGCCTCTGCCGGTTCATTCCCTGGCCGCTGGCGAGGGTCCCACAAAAAAAAAAAAAAAAAAAAAACAAGACCATAATAAAGACATATGTAAATACATACAATAAATGTAGGTCAAAAGTGCTTGAAATTCCTTATAAGCAAGGAAGGTTTTTGTTTTCCGTATGGTTTTAGTTTTTTACTTCTTTGGAAGCACTTCAAGTTCTGCACCTCAGTATTATCATAAAGCACCACTATTATCATAATGGCTATCCACAGATGGAAAGGGCTGCTTGCCAAAGTGGTGAGGATCCAACAGTGGGGGTGTTTAAATTTAGGTCACTAAGGAAATCTGAAAAGTGGAAGTTGCTTAACTCTCAACTAAGTGGATTGAAGTGACATATACTATTTAATGACCAGAGAACCAAATAATCCAAATGGGCTTAAAAATAGTTGAACAAAATAAAGGAAGCTATTTTCCAACAGTCATCCCAAAATAGGTCCAACTGCTTGAAGAACAGAGACGGGCAGGCCAACCAAGGCCTTCCATCTTCAACTACCAGCCACCTTCCCAATTCTGTGTCAGCCCTTCCCACTGGCTTGACGTCTCTCTCCCTTTGACTATCCATGACTCTTCTCACTGGCCTGCCCTACCACTTTGGGGGACACTTAGACTAAAGGGAGATAATTTAGAAATCCTATAGTGAAGTGGTTCATAGTCCAGCTTATCCATGGGACACTGGACAATCTCCAAAAAAATGTCTATACATTCCATGCTTAACAAAAATAAATCATCTAGGGCCTCCTTGGTAGCGCAAGGTGATTGAGTGCTGCACTGTGAAGCTGTCCACCACAGCCTCTGCAGCACGGGTTCAATCCCGGCCAGCCGGGGAGAAACCCACATGGCGTGGCAGACCTCTCCTGTGTCACCAGCTGCTCCCCTCAGCAGTGTATTTCAGTCAGTCTGCCTGTTCTGTTCTCTGCTCTGTCTCTGGTGAATCCTCTCACCATCCCGCACATCTGGCCTGTACCCCAGTTCTTGTATAAATAAATTTTTAAAAATCTTAAAAAAAAAATCATCTAAAGAACTCAACAACTCAATTCACACTACTCTAAAATTATAAAAGAACTAGAATTAAATATGAAAGAGAGAGCGAGAACACGAAAAAGAGATCAATAGGATGGGAGGGAATGTTTCAAAGAATTAAGTGATATAGTTTGTTTTGCAACAGTCATAGACTAGGAAATGTTGAAGTAAGACTAGTGTTATACAACCTGGAGAGAGTCATTGACTCCAACTCCATTGTACATTTGACCCTCTAGTGCAGAGCACCATGAGACACTTTATGTGAGCAGTGCCATACCACCTCTTCCCAGAATTTCAAGAAAAGCAAGTCCTAAGGAACCCAATATAAAGTTGAACCAGGCTAGGGCCACTGTGCCTGAGTTTTAGGCTAGATCTTAGTTAAGCCCCAGTGAGCTGATTTAAATTTGCAAATGGAGCATTCATTGGTTCAAATTAGGTTTCTTGGACTATCTCTTAGTTCACATATAAAACTGCAGTCAAGGAACAACAAAAAAACTGAAGGAACTGTTGGTGACACTACAAATTGAAGTCAAAGAAGACACAAGACCAAAAAGAGGATATAGTGGTGAGAACTCAAAGTACAGACAGCACCATCAACACTGGAAATTCATGAGTCCAGTGCTTTCATTCCATGCTCAAATTGCAGAGGGAAATATTTCATTGCCATTAACTACTCAACACTCCTTAAATTTACTAGGAAAATTTGATAAATGATTTATTTTAAAGTAGAACAATTACCTCAAGAGCAAACATCCTGTCCATCATGCTTCTAGATGAGGTGGCATCAGCAACAATATGAACCTCTATGCCTCGGCCAACCAGCTCCAGAGCAGTTTGCTGGATACACACATGAGTCTGGTAGCAAAGTAAAAAGCCATATGTAATCACACAGTAAGCTGAGAGTATTTTACAAATATGCAACAACAGGATAAAGCAGAAAGTGCTACAGGTCTAAAGAGACCTTGTCCATCCTCTAGTCTTGCCTCTAACAAAGTAAACTTGAGCGTAAACAACACTTTTGGCTTTAGTTTTCTCCTTGTAAAGTCATTAACTAGAGTACCTCAAAGTCCCTCCAACTAGAACCTTGACACGCTCTAGAGTTCTGTGAGAATTATTTAAAGATTTTCATCTGTGTTAGCCGAATGACCTTTACACAGCTGACTACTACCAGTCAGCTCTGATGCCACTTCCAGTTGGGTTTATTTCTGAATTCATACAGAGTGCCTGACACGAAGAATGAGTGTGCAGTACAACAGAATGAGGAAGTAGTGGAAAAACTGAGTTACAAGACACCCAAGGAAGGCCAAGTGAAAAATAACTTGCAATACAGGTAAAAAAAGGCCATGTAAATCACCAGCAAATGCATTATACAGATTCTATCTCTGTAGTGCTAACTTGTCATAAAAAGAGTAAAAACATGTTCAAACCATAAATGATTACATAACTAATAGCAAATTTCAATAACGCCACAATGGGCCTCCCCGGTGACGCAGCGGTTGAGCGCTGGGTTGCGAAGCTGCCCGAAGCCTCCGCGGCGCTGGTTCAATCCCCAGCTGCTCCCCGGCCACCGGAGGAGGGTCCCGCATGGCATGCAGACCTCTCCTGCCACCCGACGCTCCCCTCAGCAGTGTACTTCGGTCCTTCTGCCTGCTCTGCTCCCTGCTCTGCTCCCCGCTCTGGCTCTGGTGAATTCTCTCACCCTCCCGCGCTTCTGACTGTACCCAGTGCTTGTATAAATAAATAAATAAATAAATCTTAAAAAAAAAAAAAAAAATAATGCCACAATGCCAATCTTAACTGCACAGGGTGCGAGCTTTAGAGACTTATCAACTGATGCGGCACTACAATTAGAACTGGAGAACTACTCAAAGATGATTCTGATCAGCATGAGGTAATGAGCAAAAAAGTACAAAAGTCAGCAATAACATTTATTATAATATTTATACAAACAGTTTTCTTCTGTTGACCAAATCTGAGATTACATCTTTTCACTGATGAAGCCTATTACTATAAAAACAAAACCTCACAGGTATATATATTGTTTGGATTTCACTGTCTTCATAATTATTCCCTAATTATAAAATTTGAATTCAATAGTTGTTTGATAATTAATTATATGTACGTAAAAAAAAAAGAATACATACCAAAAAAAAAAGAAAGAAAGAAATCAGTTTAAATTAGCATTAGGAATACATGAGTATTTTTTTTTCTTCCTTTAAGTGGGTATATACATGAATCAAATGTGAAGGACAATGAACTATGCTTCCTAAAGTTTTTCTAGAGCAAAGATATGACCAAGGTGAAATCCTACAACAAACAAATAGAATGCCTTTAGTGAAACTGTATTCCAAAACTTTGGTTAAAAGTAATGGCTGAAGAATCAATCAACCCAGATTCAAATCCAGCTCCATTCCTTACTAACTGCTATGACCCAGAGTCAGTTACATAGCATGTTGGAAGTTTAGTTTCTTCTACAACTCAGGAAGACTAACAGGGTTAGCCAGTGTAATGAGTTCAAATCTAGTCAATATTTTATAAATCGTGGCTATTTTTCATCATTACCACCTATGGGTTATTCTATACCCAAAACTGCATTCTGGAAATACCAAGTTTTCTACATATGATATTGTGTCCGAAACGTAACAATAGGTACTTACTTCTACTCCAAATAACACAACACTCCTGACTCCAGGGATCTCTGCTAAAGCCGCCTCAACTTCTGGTAATACCATGGAAAACTTGGTCTTTGGAAGTACCAATTTTACACCTGTTAAATCAATTTCTTGAACAGTGCTTCCAAGACCTTTAGGGTACTGTTCTGTTACAATAACTGGAATTCCCAAAATCCGGGCTCCTTGTAACTGAAAAGAGCAACCAAACACAAAAATCATTAGCAATACAGCGACTATGTATGCTTTATTGGAATGAATATCATACTTCAGCAAATTGGAAAAAATAAACAATCATACCAATCTTTGTCCCACACTAATAATATCTCCAAAATACTTGATAGCTGGTCTGAATCTCTCTTGCATGTCACAGCAAAAAAACACAGTGCTGGAAGGTGTAAGATTTCCCAGGGTAGTGAGCTGAGGAAAAAGGGGAAAAGAATAATTTAGTGCTTGTTATACAATGACACTTATTTTCAGTGGCATCAAAAAAGGAGGAAAAAATGTTCCTATTGTTTGATTCAGTAAGTCAATTCCTACAACTATTACCCAAATGAAAGTACCTGAATTCCAAGAAAAGAAATTATCCAGATTTTCACGGAATTGTTAATGGTGAAAATTAGAAATAAACCAAGGGCCAACAATACAGAAATGATTTAACCAATTTTAACACATTCACATGACAAAACTTTTTTTTTTGTATTGTAAAGATTTATTTATTTATACAAGAATCAGGGTCCAGGCCAGATGTACAGGAGGGTGAGAGGATTCACTAGAGACAGAGCAGGGAACAGAACAGGCAGACTGATTGAAATACACTGCTGAGGGGAGCAGCGGGCGAGACAAGAGAGGTCTGCCTTGCCATATGGGTTTCTCTCCAGCCGGGGCTGCGGACAGCTTCACAGTGCTGCACTCAACCGCCTATGCCACCAGGGAGGCCCAACAAAACTTTTTTATACACAATTAAAACATGTAATATAGGTTTTCAAAGAATTCATGCGATCTCAGTACTAATATTCACAATGAAATGTTAATTTTGAAAACAGAGTACAGTTCAGTAGTATTTCAATAATGTAAGAATGAAAGCAGAAGCAAGTATATAAAAATATAAGTGCTGATATAGTCATAGTGTCTTACATTCCCCAGTGCTATTTAAAAGCATTCTCAGAATGTCACTTAAAAATATGTATTGCTTTCATAATCAGAAAAATGTTACAATAGTAAAACTTAAAGTTGACGAAAGTATCACTTTTAAGTACAGAAAAACAAAATCTAAAATCTATAAAAGAGACTAAGGGATAAAACACAAATCAATTGATTGATTCAGAGCAAATCCAGAACTACTGCTGACATCAAGACAGAAACAGTAATATGCTATTCTCAAAAATAACTTTGTAAATGGAGTTCAAAAACACACAATTAAATGAAGGCCTGCACATTTCACCGTTAAGTGGACAGAGAGAACCACCAGCATTCTTTTTTTAAATATTTATTTATTTATGCATACAAGAACTGGGGTACAAGCCAGAGGTGTGGGGGGTGAGAGGATTCAGCAGAGACAGAGTGGGGAACAGAACAGGCAGAACGACTGAAATACACTGCTGAGAGGAGCAGCGGGTGAGTCAGGAGAGGTCTGCTGCGCCATGTGGGCAGCTCCCTGGCTGGGGATAGCACTCATGCTGCAGTGGGTACGGATAGCTTCACAGGTTGAGTCTTAACCCCTTGCGCCACCAGGGAGGCCCCCATTAGCATTTTTAAAATCAGGAAAGTTAATGAATGAAGACGAAAAATGGGCATTAGATTACTTAGCCTTTACATTAATTGGTGTAGTGGATCTACTCTAGTATTTGGGGTCCAATATTGATGTACCCAAAAAATAAAAATCTCTGTTCTGTTGCATGTAAAAATTAATCTCATTGGATTCTTAAACGGCCAGGTTGCTTTCTCTCTACCTTCTCACCTTAAAGAATACTCTGTAAAGCACAGGTCTGGTCCTGAATGAATAGGTCCATTATGTTTACTAGGCAGCCCCAAAATTTTTCATCAAATGATCCTGTTTTGTTCTCACTAACACCATGCACAATCATTACTGATAATTTCCTGGAGGAGGCTGTATCCCAATTACGTGGCTTCACCATTAGTCTGGCCCTAGCCTCTCTGCCTCAGTGCCTGTGCACTCAGGGGACTCTTGGGAAACAACTACACAGGAATTAAGTAAATCATTAAATGAAATCTTTTATCCTTAATAGTATGACTGTTCCAATCAGTTTGCACTTTATTTATCTACACCCTGGTTTGAGGGCACTTTAATGTTCCTCTGATACTAAATGCCAACAACTTCATGTAACAATGTGAACACCATCTGTAATTCTGACACTATATATAGGGTTTTCCTACTGTGTTAATAGTAGTATGATTAAAATAAATACACACATATCTTAAATTATATATTCTATGTTTGGCTCGTTCCTTATTTAAATCTGTAATTCAAGTAATCTGCCTCCATATTGGTCATTTTCAAAAATAGAGAGTATCAAGCTTATGCAAATATTTAGGGTATTAGTTTTAAAACCAATCAAGATTTAAAATTGCATCTTAAATTCTTAGAAGTATTCAGTTTTTGGTTCAAACACTATACATTTTCTTTTTGCAAAGCTGAACTGTGGGTTCCTTAGTCATCCAGAACATGTTTAGGCCATAGTATAAAAGCAGTTTGCCTACAACTGGCCTGTTTCAAATTATAATAATGCAACTCAGCCATTCCCAACAATGTACAACAGGTAGAACCAGCACTCATGCAAAACAAAACCATTCAGCAGTTACTGCAGTGAGTTGTATCCCTGCGCTAAAATGCTCACAGATTATACTTGCTTCCATCTTCAGCTGGAAGATCAGATCTCAGGCTGTACTGACTAACTCCACTTCTGTGCCTAACAACTTTGATTGTCTGAATTCTAAATTCACACCAAGTTATAAGATGCAAATCAGAAAGAAAATTGCTGGAGGCAGGCAAGGTGGCAGCAGCGGAAATGACAAAGAAAAAAAATTAAATACAATAAAAGCAGATCAAAACTCAAATAACTATACAGTCTAGGCCTCTAGTGAAGGAATAATAAGCTGCCTAGGACATAAAATAGGACAACAGTATTCCAGCATACTCAGTAAGAAAATATTAAATTATATAATATTTCAGTATGGCTACAATACAAAATGATCAAAATATTCAACATCGGGATACTTAAAGGAATAATACCTTACTACCCAGAAATCCTCAATATTCAAAGTTGTGTTCTCCCGGGTTTCCTATTACCCGGTGATTCCCTGTAACTCACCTTAGCTCTGGCAGGGACCACCCAGATGTCACATTAGACATAGATGGAGGTGGTCAGAAAACAGAACCCTACAAAACCTTTCCAATATAGCTTTCTAATACAAGAATTCATCACCTATAAGCCTTCAGTAAAAAAAGACATCACAGAGATCAAAGGGATTTATGCAGTGATGAAATCAAAACGCCTAGACTTTCTCCTCTCACGGAGTTTGAGTTTAACTTCCAACATTCCCTTGAATTTGGCCTGCATTTAGTAATTCACTTCCTAAGAATAGAGTATAGGGCGGGGAGGTAAGTGCAATGGAGAAGCCTGCCCAGCACTGCCTCTACCAGGAATCAAGATCAAGGCAACTAATGGTGTTACGTCACAGGATGTATCCTGGAGGTGATGTGATGTGAACATAAGGAACATTCATGATCCTTCTCTCAAAAATCCCACAACCCCAGTCTAAGCATGAGGAAAAAAATCAGACAAACCAACACCAAAGGGCAACTGTACCAGAACACCTACTCTGTACACCTCAAAACTGTCAAGGTCATCAGAAACAAGCAACAGGAATGTCTGAGAAACTGTCACAACCTAGAGGAGCCCAAAGAGATGTGACAATTAAAAGTGGTCAGTATCCTGGATGGGATGTTGGAACATAAAAAGGGCATTATGAAAAAGCTAGTGAAAACCAGTAAGGCATAAGGTTCAATCAATAGTAACAGCAATGTCGGTTCCTTAGTCATGACAAATATCACACAGTAAATTGCTAGCAGGAGGGGAACTTGAGTACAGGTATACAGGGACTCTCCAGATTATCTTTGCAACTCTGCCTGAATCTAACACTACTCTACAATTAAAAAAAAAAAAATTATTAAACAAAAAGATCTCCCTATACTATGGCAGTGAGGGGAGGGGAGGTAGGAAATGCTACTTTGTGAATAACCTCCAAATACTACAAACCAAAAGACAGGCTTTGAACAAAATTTAAAAAAAAAAAAAAAAGTGAAAAGTAAAAAAACTTTGTGCCGAAGCAAATCCAAGAATCCAAGATTCTTCTAAAACACAAGATTCCAACAGACTGTTGTTCAAATTACAAATCAAATCTGATTCAGGGGCTTCTAACTTTGACTTCTGGATTTCTTATACACCAAAAGCTTACAGACTACTAAAAACATTGCCCATACTCTAACATTTACATATTGCAGTTCCAAGGCTGAAATCCTAGCAGTAGCAAATTGAAAGTAGACTGACCAAATATCAGGAGTACGAGTACAGCAATTAAGGATCAACACATATTCAAGAAGTGAGAAGAAATCACATGTAAAAATATATGAGTGGGGAAAAAAATGAGTATATATACTTCATATATCTAGCTACCTACATACTTCCGATAAATATATACATACATAAATATACATATTTAAATACAAAAAGTTGATCACATTCAATGGCTTCTTCAAACAGAAGAAATTAGTTCCAAGCCTGAACATTTTGTCCATTTTAAGAAACATCATTGCTGGGATTAGACCTCAGGTTTCATATTCAAAACTTTTCATGACCCTTTACTCCCTTGTTATGACAACACATACCCTCCTCCTCTACTACCACGTGTGCTCTGACCCTGCTTTCACAATGACAGCAGCGCCTGCTATGGGTCTGCCCCTCCTTGTTCAGTCCCCCTGGTTAATCAAGGTTGGGTGCATACAGGGTGTCTGGCCTTGCTTAGTGAAGCACAGCACACGTGTTCTGTTCTCCGCACAAAAGTATTGCCAGGGTGAGTGTTATGTTGAATTGTGTCCCTAAAATTCATATTGGAAATCCTAACCCACATTTAAAAAATAATCAGTGAAGATGGGGTCATCTAGGAGTAGGGTGGCTTAGAGAGCCACTCTAGAGAGCCAGCCATATAAGGATATCAATATGGCTGATATCCTTATAAGAAAAGAAAATTACCACACAGAAAGACACAATGCCTTGTGAATGTGGAAGCAGAGATCAAGGGGATGCATCCCTGAGTCAAGAGATGATAAAGATGTGAACATACTCCAAAAGCTGAGAGAGAGTCATGGAACAGAGACAGTCCCTCACAGCCCTCAGAGG